TCTTTTCATCTAGGACACTCTCGTCCATAGATGAACTACTGAGAACTCTCTCGTTCTCAGTAAACACTGTTGCTGACCTTATGTCGGTTACACACTCGTCGTCAGCGACGAGTATGCAGATCTGCTTGACTTTGCCACTACGCAGATCACGCACGAACCTTTTATGTTCGAGCGTTGGCAACTGAGTGATCTCCGAAGTCAACTTCGGAGGCGCAATCAGATCAAGTGTATAAGCGCCTACACTTGATCCGTTATTGACTATGACATTCAATGTCTCTGTCATTTCCTGGGGACTTATTCCCTCAGGCTTCGAAGGACTTATTCCTTCGTCTTCCCGGGGACTTTTTCCCTCGGGTTTCGGGGAACCAATTTCCGCCGTATTTGTGATCTTGGGACTTATTCCCTTTACTTCCTCTAGCTGGGGTTGCGCAACCACAGCGAGATCCTCTACGAAAGACTCTCCAGTCGATCTAGGATTATCGTTTCGCTTAACCTGAGCGATCGATTGTTTCTCTTCTAGATGTTCCCCGCTAGGGATACATCTTTGTCCCGGTCGACTCGACTTATTCGAGTGGTGGACCTTCGGCGCAGCCTGTGTTTCCTCACAGCCGCCGGAACTTTGCTCCGAAGTGTAACCGTTTGGTACACTAAGGTTTTGTGCAGTCGTACTAACGACCGTACCACAAGTGAGGCCATCGCACTCACTCGTAGTACATCCACACGCTTGTGGACGCTCCAAAACGTTCATCAGATGGCCATCTGATGAACAAGCGGCAGGCATCGTTACTGTTCGATGTTGCCAGTTTACCCGTGCTTCGTACCTTCTGAGCCACGGTATTCCAAGGATGACATCAAATTTGTCATCCAAATCCAATACGATAAAGTCATCGTCATATTGGGTATCTTCTAGCGTATAGTGGATCTTCACTATACGCTTCATGACGGTTACGGATGCGCCTGTCGCAAGACGTACCGTCATCCTCGTAGGAGGTGTGTCACATTCACTGAACTTAAAATGACCATCTTCTAGCGATTGGCGTTGCACAAAATTGTTGGACGCCCCACAATCGACTAGAGCTCGAAGGGACAACTTATTCGTCACTTCGAGTTTCAAGGTAATGAGTGAGACCTCATTACCTAGAGCAGCAACGCACAACGTTTGTGTGTTGGGAGCAACCTTCATCAAGAGGCCTACAAATTCTCTTGACGTTGCTGGACCAGTAGGGTGCTCCGCACCTACTGATCCTGTCCGTTTTTTACGGTCCATCCCGTTGTTGCGTCTTTGCACCAACAGCGGACCTGCGTCCCTGCCCCTTATCCCATGGGTGGACGGTCACTACGCCCAGTGTCGCGAGACACTGGACGAGGGGCACTACACTCGTAAGCGTAGTGTCCTGTCTTTTGACATCTGTTGCATCTCTGCAACTTCTTGTAGCCTGTAGAGCGAGCCTTCTCGCTCTCTACATAACAGAGTTCCATCGGCTCTGGACCTTCGTTGTCATATCGTCTCGGTTGACGATATGATGTCGAGCTGGCGCGAGCCTGTCTCAGACTGAAGTCTTCCTGCTCCGCAATGGAAATGGCTTGTTCTAGTGAATCTAGTTCAAGCCGGAACAGGTGAGTCTTGACGGGACCATCCGCAAGACCCTGCATGAACACCGAAACCAACGTGTGTTCATCCACCGGATTGGAACTTATACAACTCGTAAGATGTCGTATATGTTGCGCGTAAGCGTGCACATCACGCTTACCCTATTTGAGCTTCAAGAGTTCGGTTCGAGCCCTGAACTCAGCTCTAGGCGGTTCAAACGTTTGTCTGAGCCGCGACTTGAAGACTTCCAACGACCCAAACGCATATGGGTCGTGCAACTTGAGCCCCAGTGCCAAGTCTTGGCACGTCCTGCCAGATTTGATTGGGCAAATGCAAGTTGAATATCCCCGTCGTCGATGCAACGCGCCCTTATGGCGTCGTCTTATTCGACGAACCATCTCAAGAGGGAGTCTTCTTCGACCCCCCTATACTTTGAGATGTCAATCTTTAAAGTCTCGGGTCGACGCGAGTGCATCGACCCGCCAGCAGCAGCCTGCTGCTGTCTCAACAGTTCAAACTGTTGAGCACCCTGTTCTCTCAACAACTCTGCTTGTTGAGAACCTTGTTGGTGAAGCAAGGCTACTTTCTCGCGTTCAGCGTCAAGTTCATTTTGAATGAACTTGGCGATAGTAGCATGTTGGGCATCTCTATTGAGAGTCTCTAGCATGACACTAACATCATGGATGCCCATGGTTGAACCCATCCGTTCAACCGCATCCCATTCGACATCGCTCAAATGAGAGTAGCCGTCACGCGTAGCGTGAAAGCTTTGGTCATCTTCATCATCCAACACATTCACGTTGGATGTGAACGGGGTCCTTGGACGGACTACGAAGTGCTACCAGGTGTAATGGGGCACCCTCAAGCTTGTACTGATGACAGTACAAGCTACTTATTCTGATGACAGAATTAGGCGGTGCCTCGGAACTTCACGTACACTCGTACGTGCAGAGGAAGACGGTAAGAAGAAGCGAGTACTTATTTTAAGTAAAAAGTAGAACTGTATTTATAATAGTTAATGTCTGCAATAAATCACTATTTATCTTCATCTAACTATGTCTGAATACAAATGTGTAAATCAGTTATCTGCTCACCACTCATTGCGTGCGTCTGTCGTGGCGCGTCTTCGTTGGTTGATATAATATCCTATATCAACCAATTAGGAACTACTTGTAAGTGCTACAGAATATTTATCCTTATGACAATATTCTGAGAATATAACTCTTATATTTATATTCTATTAACAATTTCTTATAAATTGTTATGTAACGATTCACCCCGTTACAACTACACTCGTAAGCATAGTGTCCTGTCTTCTGACATCTGTTGCATTTCTGCAACTTCTTGTAGTCTGTAGAGCGAGCCTTCTCGCTCTCTACATAACAGAGTTCCATCGGCTCTGGACCTCCGTTGTCATATCGTCTCGGTTGACGATATGATGTCGAGCTGGCGCGAGCCTGTCTCAGACTGAAGTCTTCCTGTTCCGCAATGGAAATTGCTTGTTCTAGTGAATCTAGTTCAAGCCGGAACAGGTGAGTCTTGACGGGACCATCCGCAAGACCCTGCATGAACACCGAAACCAACGTGTGTTCATCCACCGGATTGGAACTTATACAACTCGTAAGATGTCGTATATGTTGCGCGTAAGCGTGCACATCACGCTTACCCTATTTGAGCTTCAAGAGTTCGGTTCGAGCCCTGAACTCAGCTCTAGGCGGTTCAAACGTTTGTCTGAGCCGCGACTTGAAGACTTCCAACGACCCAAACGCATATGGGTCGTGCAACTTGAGCCCCAGTGCCAAGTCTTGGCACGTCCTGCCAGATTTGATTGGGCAAATGCAATTTGCATTTCCCCATCGTCGATGCAACGCGCCCTTATGGCGTCGTCTTATTCGACGAATCATCTCAAGAGGGAGTCTTCTTTGACTCCCCTATACTTGGAGATGTCAATCTTCAAAGTCTCGGGTCGACGCGAGTGCATCGACCCGCCAGCAGCAGCCTGCTGCTGTCTCAACAGTTCAAACTGTTGAGCACCCTGTTCTCTCAACAACTCTGCTTGTTGAGAACCTTGTTGGTGAAGCAAGGCTACTTTCTCGCGTTCAGCGTCAAGTTCATTTTGAATGAACTTGGCGATAGTAGCATGTTGGGCATCTCTATTGAGAGTCTCTAGCATGACACTAACATCATGGATGCCCATGGTTGAACCCATCCGTTCAACCGCATCCCATTCGACATCGCTCAAATGAGAGTAGCCGTCACGCGTAGCGTGAAAGCTTTGGTCATCTTCATCATCCAACACATTCACGTTGGATGTGAACGGGGGTCCTTGGACGGACTACGAAGTGCTACCAGGTGTAATGGGGCACCCTCAAGCTTGTACTGATGACAGTACAAGCTACTTATTCTGATGACAGAATTAGGCGGTGCCTCGGAACTTCACGTACACTCGTACGTGCAGAGGAAGACGGTAAGAAGAAGCGAGTACTTATTTTAAGTAAAAAGTAGAACTGTATTTATAATAGTTAATGTCTGCAATAAATCACTATTTATCTTCATCTAACTATGTCTGAATACAAATGTGTAAATCAGTTATCTGCTCACCACTCATTGCGTGCGTCTGTCGTGGCGCGTCTTCGTTGGTTGATATAATATCCTATATCAACCAATTAGGAAACTACTTGTAAGTGCTACAGAATATTTATCCTTATGACAATATTCTGAGAATATAACTCTTATATTTATATTCTATTAACAATTTCTTATAAATTGTTATGTAACGATTCACCCCGTTACAACTACACTCGTAAGCATAGTGTCCTGTCTTCTGACATCTGTTGCATTTCTGCAACTTCTTGTAGTCTGTAGAGCGAGCCTTCTCGCTCTCTACATAACAGAGTTCCATCGGCTCTGGACCTCCGTTGTCATATCGTCTCGGTTGACGATATGATGTCGAGCTGGCGCGAGCCTGTCTCAGACTGAAGTCTTCCTGTTCCGCAATGGAAATTGCTTGTTCTAGTGAATCTAGTTCAAGCCGGAACAGGTGAGTCTTGACGGGACCATCCGCAAGACCCTGCATGAACACCGAAACCAACGTGTGTTCATCCACCGGATTGGAACTTATACAACTCGTAAGATGTCGTATATGTTGCGCGTAAGCGTGCACATCACGCTTACCCTATTTGAGCTTCAAGAGTTCGGTTCGAGCCCTGAACTCAGCTCTAGGCGGTTCAAACGTTTGTCTGAGCCGCGACTTGAAGAACTTCCAACGACCCAAACGCATATGGGTCGTGCAACTTGAGCCCCAGTGCCAAGTCTTGGCACGTCCTGCCAGATTTGATTGGGCAAATGCAATTTGCATTTCCCCATCGTCGATGCAACGCGCCCTTATGGCGTCGTCTTATTCGACGAATCATCTCAAGAGGGAGTCTTCTTTGACTCCCCTATACTTGGAGATGTCAATCTTCAAAGTCTCGGGTCGACGCGAGTGCATCGACCCGCCAGCAGCAGCCTGCTGCTGTCTCAACAGTTCAAACTGTTGAGCACCCTGTTCTCTCAACAACTCTGCTTGTTGAGAACCTTGTTGGTGAAGCAAGGCTACTTTCTCGCGTTCAGCGTCAAGTTCATTTTGAATGAACTTGGCGATAGTAGCATGTTGGGCATCTCTATTGAGAGTCTCTAGCATGACACTAACATCATGGATGCCCATGGTTGAACCCATCCGTTCAACCGCATCCCATTCGACATCGCTCAAATGAGAGTAGCCGTCACGCGTAGCGTGAAAGCTTTGGTCATCTTCATCATCCAACACATTCACGTTGGATGTGAACGGGGTCCTTGGACGGACTACGAAGTGCTACCAGGTGTAATGGGGCACCCTCAAGCTTGTACTGATGACAGTACAAGCTACTTATTCTGATGACAGAATTAGGCGGTGCCTCGGAACTTCACGTACACTCGTACGTGCAGAGGAAGACGGTAAGAAGAAGCGAGTACTTATTTTAAGTAAAAAGTAGAACTGTATTTATAATAGTTAATGTCTGCAATAAATCACTATTTATCTTCATCTAACTATGTCTGAATACAAATGTGTAAATCAGTTATCTGCTCACCACTCATTGCGTGCGTCTGTCGTGGCGCGTCTTCGTTGGTTGATATAATATCCTATATCAACCAATTAGGAACTACTTGTAAGTGCTACAGAATATTTATCCTTATGAAAATATTCTGAGAATATAACTCTTATATTTATATTCTATTAACAATTTCTTATAAATTGTTATGTAACGATTCACCCCGTTACAACTACACTCGTAAGCATAGTGTCCTGTCTTCTGACATCTGTTGCATTTCTGCAACTTCTTGTAGTCTGTAGAGCGAGCCTTCTCGCTCTCTACATAACAGAGTTCCATCGGCTCTGGACCTCCGTTGTCATATCGTCTCGGTTGACGATATGATGTCGAGCTGGCGCGAGCCTGTCTCAGACTGAAGTCTTCCTGTTCCGCAATGGAAATTGCTTGTTCTAGTGAATCTAGTTCAAGCCGGAACAGGTGAGTCTTGACGGGACCATCCGCAAGACCCTGCATGAACACCGAAACCAACGTGTGTTCATCCACCGGATTGGAACTTATACAACTCGTAAGATGTCGTATATGTTGCGCGTAAGCGTGCACATCACGCTTACCCTATTTGAGCTTCAAGAGTTCGGTTCGAGCTCTGAACTCAGCTCTAGGCGGTTCAAACGTTTGTCTGAGCCGCGACTTGAAGACTTCCAACGACCCAAACGCATATGGGTCGTGCAACTTGAGCCCCAGTGCCAAGTCTTGGCACGTCCTGCCAGATTTGATTGGGCAAATGCAATTTGCATTTCCCCATCGTCGATGCAACGCGCCCTTATGGCGTCGTCTTATTCGACGAATCATCTCAAGAGGGAGTCTTCTTTGACCCCCCTATACTTTGAGATGTCAATCTTCAAAGTCTCGGGTCGACGCGAGTGCATCGACCCGCCAGCAGCAGCCTGCTGCTGTCTCAACAGTTCAAACTGTTGAGCACCCTGTTCTCTCAACAACTCTGCTTGTTGAGAACCTTGTTGGTGAAGCAAGGCTACTTTCTCGCGTTCAGCGTCAAGTTCATTTTGAATGAACTTGGCGATAGTAGCATGTTGGGCATCTCTATTGAGAGTCTCTAGCATGACACTAACATCATGGATGCCCATGGTTGAACCCATCCGTTCAACCGCATCCCATTCGACATCGCTCAAATGAGAGTAGCCGTCACGCGTAGCGTGAAAGCTTTGGTCATCTTCATCATCCAACACATTCACGTTGGATGTGAACGGGGTCCTTGGACGGACTACGAAGTGCTACCAGGTGTAATGGGGCACCCTCAAGCTTGTACTGATGACAGTACAAGCTACTTATTCTGATGACAGAATTAGGCGGTGCCTCGGAACTTCACGTACACTCGTACGTGCAGAGGAAAGACGGTAAGAAGAAGCGAGTACTTATTTTAAGTAAAAAGTAGAACTGTATTTATAATAGTTAATGTCTGCAATAAATCACTATTTATCTTCATCTAACTATGTCTGAATACAAATGTGTAAATCAGTTATCTGCTCACCACTCATTGCGTGCGTCTGTCGTGGCGCGTCTTCGTTGGTTGATATAATATCCTATATCAACCAATTAGGAACTACTTGTAAGTGCTACAGAATATTTATCCTTATGACAATATTCTGAGAATATAACTCTTATATTTATATTCTATTAACAATTTCTTATAAATTGTTATGTAACGATTCACCCCGTTACAACTACACTCGTAAGCATAGTGTCCTGTCTTCTGACATCTGTTGCATTTCTGCAACTTCTTGTAGTCTGTAGAGCGAGCCTTCTCGCTCTCTACATAACAGAGTTCCATCGGCTCTGGACCTCCGTTGTCATATCGTCTCGGTTGACGATATGATGTCGAGCTGGCGCGAGCCTGTCTCAGACTGAAGTCTTCCTGTTCCGCAATGGAAATTGCTTGTTCTAGTGAATCTAGTTCAAGCCGGAACAGGTGAGTCTTGACGGGACCATCCGCAAGACCCTGCATGAACACCGAAACCAACGTGTGTTCATCCACCGGATTGGAACTTATACAACTCGTAAGATGTCGTATATGTTGCGCGTAAGCGTGCACATCACGCTTACCCTATTTGAGCTTCAAGAGTTCGGTTCGAGCCCTGAACTCAGCTCTAGGCGGTTCAAACGTTTGTCTGAGCCGCGACTTGAAGACTTCCAACGACCCAAACGCATATGGGTCGTGCAACTTGAGCCCCAGTGCCAAGTCTTGGCACGTCCTGCCAGATTTGATTGGGCAAATGCAATTTGCATTTCCCCGTCGTCGATGCAACGCGCCCTTATGGCGTCGTCTTATTCGACGAACCATCTCAAGAGGGAGTCTTCTTTGACTCCCCTATACTTGGAGATGTCAATCTTCAAAGTCTCGGGTCGACGCGAGTGCATCGACCCGCCAGCAGCAGCCTGCTGCTGTCTCAACAGTTCAAACTGTTGAGCACCCTGTTCTCTCAACAACTCTGCTTGTTGAGAACCTTGTTGGTGAAGCAAGGCTACTTTCTCGCGTTCAGCGTCAAGTTCATTTTGAATGAACTTGGCGATAGTAGCATGTTGGGCATCTCTATTGAGAGTCTCTAGCATGACGCTAACAGCATGGATGCCCATGGTCGAACCCATTCGTTCAACCGCATCCCATTCGACATCGCTCAAATGGGAGTAGCCGTCACGCGTAGCGTGAAAGCTTTGGTCATCTTCATCATCCAACATATTCACGTTGGATGTGAACGGGGTCCTTGGACGGACTACGAAGTGCTACCAGGTGTAATGGGGCACCCTCAAGCTTGTACTGATGACAGTACAAGCTACTTATTCTGATGACAGAATTAGGCGGTGCCTCGGAACTTCACGTACACTCGTACGTGCAGAGGAAGACGGTAAGAAGAAGCGAGTACTTATTTTAAGTAAAAAGTAGAACTGTATTTATAATAGTTAATGTCTGCAATAAATCACTATTTATCTTCATCTAACTATGTCTGAATACAAATGTGTAAATCAGTTATCTGCTCACCACTCATTGCGTGCGTCTGTCGTGGCGCGTCTTCGTTGGTTGATATAATGGCCTATATCAACCAATTAGGAACTACTTGTAAGTGCTACAGAATATTTATCCTTATGACAACATTCTAAGAATATAACTCTTATAGTTATATTCTATTAACAATTTCTTATACATTGTTATGTATGGATTCACCCCGTTACAGAGCCGCTTGAAGTGCCACCACACGCGCCATGTCCATTGTCTTTTCATCGGCAATTTACAACGTCGGACCAGTGGTCATTCAGTAAGTACTAGGCATCTGCGTCGGCATACCCTAGAACAGCAAGGTACAAAAGCACTTTGCTTTGCCCCGTACGAAGTATCAGTGCAATTACTACTGTCCTCCAGGTCATCTCAGTTGACAAGATAGAATCTCCTATTTTGTCCTTACCCTTTGATATTGATCCTGCAAAAGGTGGCTGGACAGATATTTGTTGATATCTGATTGAAAATATTGCAACCGCACAGATATTCGGATGCTGACTCCAGCATGCTCACTTTTTAATTCATAGGCGCTTGCAACACCTCATGGCCAGACAAGGTTGTACAAGTACTATGCTGATAACTATCGATGGGGAACGCTACCGTCATAACTATGTAGAACGAGGGGTTCCAGCTCTTGTCGTCTTGCCATTATACACATCCTGTGTACCCCAGTATTCCGTTCGAACGTCTGTCGGTATCGTCAAATTCAGCGCTGGCATCTTGTCCAAGCACGACTTGTCAAGACGATCGAGGTTTCCGCCATTTTTGACGTAAGACACCAACAGATTCATTCCGCACCATTCTCCGGACTCGCCAAACGGGGTCGATACGATGGCGCAATGGACAGCATACTCGAAAGTAACTAGTTCTTTGTTGGAACCCACCAGCCCTTCGAAAAAAGCCTCAGCGTACTTGTAAGGAGTCTGAGGATCCAGTTTGCTACTCATTAGCAACACACTGGCATGCCTTGGAATGACGGCAGTCTTGTTCCAATATCGGTCGCGCTCGTAGATGATGGCACTTGAGCCATTGTTGTCCAGTTCAAGTCCGTCACATGTCGGAGACTTCTCCTTGGAATAAGCGCAGTACAACTCATTCATCTTGTCCGTCCCCGTGTTAAAACCCGCATACATTGTCGCGTCTTTCGTACGTTTCTTTAGCATTTGAAAAGACGGTGCGGGCGTTTCCCACGATTCGGAGAAGGTGATCAGATAGTACAGAAGCATCGACGTATACGCGTTGTCCTGGGTGCTCGTAAACGCTAACGATTCGAAATTTGTGAAGAGTTGCGTCAAGACGAGGCGATCTCCTTTCGTACAGTGAGTCAGTCTGTAGATCAACGGTGGAATGAACGCTCGCCACGTCGAATCAAGTAGCAACCCGCCCAAAGTGCCACGAAGCGAGGATGATGGTGTGTTAGCCGTTGGGGCCTCTTTTGTGCTTACCAGCTGGGCGCAGGTCGAGTTCGGATCCTTGTCAAACTTCTCAACCAGATGTCGTAGAGAAGTAGACAAATTCTCAGCCTTAAAGTATCGACTGCATTCGTCGTCGTCGATGCACAGATCAAGGAATGCGTCGCCCACCTCCCCGATATCGAGATCGACCATCGAAATGTATGGAAATTTGTCCTTTGCCGCTGCAGAGGTCGTAGCAACACTGTCCAAGACATAGCCGATCACCGTCGGAGTCTTCAAGTGCATCAGACGTTCTACCAGCGCCGTTCCGTAACTAACGCCGTAGACGATAGTGCTTTTGCCGTTCGTATACTCGGAGATGAACGTCGCAATGTCAGTGGCAGCCGTCGTCATGGAAAACGAAGACAGGTCACCGTACTTGTACTTGAGATCCTGCGCACACGCAGCGACTTCGGACGGGTCAATCTCGCTGCCAAAAGGAGAGCCAGTAGTAGTAGCTTGAGCTGTCACACAGTCCAGACGTGTGCTGCGGCCCGTGCCACGATGGTCCATCGTGTAAAGATTAGCTTTTCCTTCAAGTAAATAGTGTAGATAGCTCATGGTCGATTCCACTGCATTGAAGAGACCGAAGAACAAGAGCTTAATGTCAGTTTATAGTATGCGGAAATGCTGGCACAATACAACGTACGTGAGCTCGACGAGTCACCTGGACCACCTTGAACAACCCACACATTCGTCGCAATAGCAGGGTCTTCAGATGTTGCTGGAAACTGCTTGACAAAAATATCGACAGTCGAGTCCACCGATGGCGGGGTCTCACAGATACCGGGGTAGCACAAAGGGGCTCTGTAGATCGCGCACTTCGTAATAGCGCCAGTCGAGCTCCCCTCGTCGGAAAACGTGGTGTCAGAACACGGGTACCAGCCATTTAGGTCAGCTTTCTTGGCGGACACGATCGTCAAAGGTAAGGCCAGGCAGACCGCAGTCAGTGCGGTGACACTGGAAATCAGCATCTCGACAAAGTTGCAGGCACCGGCAAAGATGACAAATGACCGTGACCACGATTCACACAGTCGACGCACGAAGCAAAATGCAGCGACTTTGTTATCATTAACTGGCTATACGCAATATCGGATGCTGTGAGACAACGGGAAGCGATGGTAAGCATTTGTCAGATTGCAACGATAGTCTCTACTTGGAGACGCGTGTCGCGTCATTACTACTATCTCTGGTGATCTGTTTCGTGTGATCGTAGCACCAAGCTGAATAGTCACATATGCCCTGATGTTGATCAGCTGATTAAATCTGTGGAAAGGACCGCGACCCTAAGCTGCGTTGATCGTCTCTTTGTGCATTTGCTACACCACAAACCCCTTAGAGGGCACGACCGCTAGGACGCCGTAGCTCTTACAAAAAAATCAAAAAGTGCTAACTTGTTGACTTTGACATTCTCCACTGAAATGCTGCGAAGCTTTGCGATCGGCACAGACATCAACATGAGGACGAGTTTGAGCCTACCTAGTAGCTCCACACGACACGGTACCAGTAATATTAGGAGAAGCGATCGTGTGCACTTCGTCGGATTGTGACGATAGTCTCTGCTTCTACAGGCATGTCGCGTCGTCTTGACGTTACTGGGTGATCTGTTACAAGTGCAGAAAAACGAATGCCGATGTCAAGTAGCCGATCCAAACTACTTAATGGAAACCTTCTTTATCAACATTGCTCGGTGTCTTGTTGTGCTCTCGGCAATGAACTTTTCGCGACAACACGGGGGAGGAGGGGGAAGAACAGACAGCCTATTACACGGTATTAATGTGAATAAGACTTCTGGAATGTACTAAGCCAGAGTTACAACGCCGGTGTCGAATCGCCCGGTGGTTGTTCGTGGCTCACCACGTGATGTGGCGCTCTGGAAGGCGCAGTAGTGTCATCTAGTAACTCAATACACTGCCATAGCCGGATGCCTTGCACCCTTGAATGTAGCGTTCTGCGCTCTCTTGCCGCTAATGCTCGTAATTGCCAAAGCACTGGAAAATAAAACGCTCGGACACTTTCCATGAGTGAAAGTTGTTGCCGCTCGTAGACTACCCGATTGCGCTGTATCTTAAGAGTCGAGATACATACGGAACACAGGATCCACCATATGCGCTTCCACTGATCAATATACAACGCCACAGTATCACCAAAGGCCTGCTGCAGCCGTTGTAATAGTGACCTAGACAGAGGCGGCGGTGTTCTTGCCTTGTAGTTTCCCGCATACTGGCTCACGTCATCGGACCGCCTGTTAGCATCCCAGAGCCACTGGAAATATCCTGAAAATGTGCATCAGTGTCTCCTTGTGACAGCCCCCTGCAACTGCTGTCAAGTTCCCTCCCCGGGAAGAATAAATTGAGTTGTTGGAGTATCAAGCGATAATAGACCCACACTTAATACGACGTGATTGCAATTTGATGGCCCTACAGCTGCCTCGGGGTTTGATATAGCTCAGCAGAGTGCCAGTATTCCCGGTCTGCGCAGGTTTGCAATTTCTGAAGTAGACCTTCTAAAGCCGTGCACCTTTGCCTTGCAACACGGCTGGCGTTGAATGCACCTCAATACGTACCAGTTCGTTACGTTCGGTGGGGTATCCCACGGAAAGTTGTGAATCGATGGATGGGTCTCAACGACAAGACCGAGAGCCCGTTGCGAGCTCTGATGACGACCACATCGTGCCCATACTCCGGAGGTATTAGATGTGAGTCATCGACTATCCAATCAATCCCGTTGGCCTCCTGCTTTGGCATGATTCTCCGTGATGAAATTTTCGGCTCTGTACCTGCTACCCCTCGGACAGCTCCAGGTACCACCAGTACCCAGTTGTAAGATAGCCGGAGGTCCGGGGATGTCGAAACGCCACAGTGGAGAGAACCTCGAATGTCTGTCCCAAAGCGAACAGAGGACTCCCCAACAGGATTGCTAAAGCACAGCGCCCGAGTCTGCGGTCCGTGTGGTGCTTGTCCGCTCCCTCAGCCAACGAGACTTGGCAAACGTATGTTGTCGGACCGGTTCACTCAATTGCAAGTCTTCCAGTGAGCACAGCTTAATGCGGTCGTATTTCTTGCTCATTACTCGATCACCTGTGCCATCGCAAAGCCATGGGTGGTCTGCTTACGAACATGTTGGCTATTATTGTCCGGGCGCGGCCGTTATCTCCCAGGTAATTGCAGGTAACGGCTCCGCTAGCCAAATTGTTAATCGGTCTCCGTCCCGCCAGCACGTGGTCTGCG